ACCAAGTGGGTGATGGGGGGATGATTTCATGGATCACTTAGAGGCACAAGTAAGCCTCTTAATGCAAAATAAGAAATGCTGAAAAATGAAGGTCTGTGAAGAGCTTCAGAATTGAAGATAAGCACCTTAATGTTATGTGAGAGTGAAAGAGAGATGGTTCAGGATTCTTTTTAAAACGTGTTTGTTTTTGCAATGTCAAGAGGTATAATGAAAAATGTGTTGCACCCATTTGAAAAAAAGGCAGTCAGAATATTTTTTTCGAACTTCTTAAATGAATAAAGCATTCCTTAATTTAGTGTTTTGTGGGCTTAGTTGTATACTAATATTATTACAACCTTCTAAATCCTGTAACACTATTACAAAACATACCCTCCAGGCAACTTAGTCAAAACTTATTGTCCAAGCATGTAAAACAGCCATAACCTAAAATCGTTACTACTGAGAGGGGGGAAAGGCTCCTACAAGGTTTCTAATAGCTTACTACTTTTCTTAGAAAATGAGCCAACGTTTAAAAAACAAAGCAAGCCAGTTCTAAGCTTAAGTGAACTTCCTAGCCCTGTAAACAAAATAAAAGATTCTTTTCATGCCATCATTTTAGGCAGAGTCCAACTTATTTGAAACACATCATTTAGCAACAGGCAAGAAAGCTCTTCAGTTAAAACCCCTCTCACACTCCACTCCCATTGTCTTCCATTTGGAAACAACATGCAATATCAGAGCTCAACAGATGAAAAACAGGAAAATGAATGATTGTTTAAGACCCTTGACTGTACTTTGACGCTTGCCATCTCCCCCAAAAAATTAAGAAAAAAAAATACAAGACATCAAGAGATGCGATTAAATAAACTGAGGATGCCTGGTTCTTCAGCAAGATCATTTGTTTCTCCCCTTCTCTGCTTGCTTGGAAAAGTTCAGAGTTCCTTTGTAGCACACTGGGGCCAGGCTCTCTTATCCCACCTCATGCTTGAAACTTCAAGCTGAAGCAATATATACCAGAGGAAAATGAATGTGTTGGCTAAAGAGAAATTCAATTAGTACTGCAGCAACAAACCCCTCGAACAGCCCAAGTGATTAAAACTCGTCTAAAAAGCAGAAGTTTGCTCCCAGCCATCAGAATACTTTAAATAAGCGCTGGGAGAGCTCCCAGAAACTCTTGCTTAGCTATTTACTGCTTGAAAGCCAGGGTGCCTCGGTGGCTTTCAAAGCTGCATAATAATGAAGCCCCCTTCAACCTCTGCAAGGCAGGCCCCAGTCACTATCCGCATCTCGCGCCCCTGAAGTTAAATTCGGTCGCAAACTCCGGGCCAGCCCCCTCCCCGTGCAGCTAGGGGGAGAAAGGGAGGGAGGGGAAGGGGGAGCTGATAAAGGGAAAATGAATTAAAAGGACAGTTCAGAGATCACGGCTCCCACGTCCCAAACCTACCTCGGTGGCGGCCCTGCCAGGCGCGCTGCTGGAAAGTTGAGGGGAAGGGAGGGGGGCGGCTCCCGGCTGGCGCTTTCCTGACTAACGCGGGGGGTTAATGGGGCTGCGGGGAGCAGCCCCGGGCCCCGCTCCGGGACTCGCGGCGCACGGGCTCAGCCCCAGCGCCTGCCTGGCCCCGCGGTGCCCGTGCCCGCAGCAGGGACAAGCCCGAGCGCCCGGGCAGAGGAAGGAGCCCAAGGCGGCCACTGCCCCGGCCCGAGGGGGCCGCTCACATGCCCCCTTCAGCGTCCGCGTCCCCGCGGAGCCGGCTGCCCGGCTCCCCCGCCTGCAGGGAAGTGCGGAGGGGGGAGAAAGAGTCCCAAACTTCGGT